GTCCAGGTTGTCCATGATGGACAGCAGTTTGGTGGAGGGGGTGGTCCTGGTTGTCCATGATGGACAGCAGTTTGTAGTGTCCTCCTTCAAACCACAGACCTTAAAGTTTCTTGTTTGCAGTTGATGAAGTGGTCTCCCTTGTTAACGATCTTATTGAGTCTTTTGGTGTCTCTGGCTCCAGTGCTGCTGTTTGGGCCTCACATCAGGTGGCCTTACTAAAATAAAACCCATCTGGAATGCATCTGTCACCACAGGCTGTAGGCTTTAGAACTCATTTTGATGTTCTTTTAATGTCTCAAACGTGTTTTCTTTTCTTTTTATACACGTCCATCGAAGGCGGGACGTGTTATGGTTGAGTCTCCGTTTGTCCGTAAATGTTCTCTTGTCCAGCCCATAACTTCTGATCCGCTCAAGCTAATTTAATGAAACTTTGTGCACGTTTGCATCATCACTGGAAAAAGTGTCTAGTATACTTTTCATCCCCCCAGCTTCAAGGTCAAGCTCACAAATCAAGGTCAAATATACAAGGTCTTTGCTTTGGCCATTGCTATAGTTTGTTGACTAGCGTATAACGCACTGTATGATGTATTCTTGTTATTTTACTCGTTCTTGTCCTCTTTATTATTCTGATCCAGTGTGTCTTTCTTCTTTGACCTTGTATTTTACACATTTCTCCTCTTTTTGTCCTTTTTGCTTTTATACGTGACATGTTTCCATTTTCTCTCCTTTCTCCACCATCTGCTTTAGTTTGATCTATTTTTTCCTCATTATTTTCTTAACTGTCTGTTATTTAGTTTTAGTTTTTCCAAATACATCTTCTGATCTTTCTGGTATTTTCCTTTTACGCTCCTCTCCTTTATTTTGTAAGTATTTTTTATTGTTGAATGTCCTTCCCTGCTATGCGCAGATATTTTATTCTGTTTCTACTTTTCTCATCTTTCTTTTTTAATTTCATGTACAGTTTTCTGTGCTTTCTTTTTTCACACTTTCACCAAACTCTCCCACTCGTTCCCTTATTGCCCCTTCCAGTCATCATAGTACCGGTTTTATTTGATTTCATTTTCTTCTCCCCCTGTACTCCCGTCATTGTTTTAATCATTACCTTATCCTGTTTTCTTTATTCTCCTCTCGCCTCCCTTGTCCTCCCCCTCCCCTCTGCCCCCCCATCTCCTCACTCCTCCATCATATCCAGAGGGGATAATGAACAAAGGTTATTGAACAGTAGAAATAATGAAATAAAGTAGAGCAGAAACCCACCCAGAACAAAACACATTTTCTCATTTTCCTCCTGTAAAACTTATGAATTTTTTATGTTTCAATCTCCCGCTTTAATGAAATACTTTCTTAGATGCGACACATTTTCATAACGTGAATTTAGGCTGACAATTTCAATACGTTGTTTCATATGCTGCGCCGTGCATGTGTAATGGCTTTATGAGCACCTGTGTGTGTGCACGTGCGCATGAGTGTGTTTGGCATTTACTTGTCCTTTTTTAAATTATGGCTCATATTCAGGATGTATTGTTGTATTTAATTAATATTCTGCTCTTTTTTCCTCCCCAGTGTTTTAAACAGAACTCCAGTTCATCTAATCCATGAGATCATTCTGGTGGACGACTTCAGTAACGACAGTGAGAGACACACACACACGCACGCACATGCAAAGACTCACACTCTGCAAGTTTCTTCCAGGTCAGAGCTAATATGAGACATGCAAAATGGGCCAGTGGAAACGTGTCTATGAAGCAGCTGGCTTCATATTTTAAGGATTAAAGTCTTGATAGGATTAAAAAATCTCCAATATGGTGAAAGAGAAGACGTTATTTTATCTTCAGCTGCGCTCAAGCTGTCTTCAGAGACACGACGTCCAGGTAAATGATACGCACAGACCATGAAAATCTAAACAAATAGGATCAAATTTAGACCCGTTTGACCAGGATAGTTGGAAAATGGTTATATTCAGACAAATTCAATAAAAAATAAAAATCAGAAAATGAACAAAGATCTGAAAATGATGAAGATGATGATGTGGGGTTTCTTCTTCTCTGAGATGGAAAAGTAAAATAAGATCATTTTATTCAGCATCTCAGAAAATCCACATTGAAAATAATGAGACAATGATAAACAAACTGTGCTTGTACGGCTCCTTTTTATCTTATTGAGACACTCAAAGCTCTTTACAACAATCTGTGTCCTCATGTACACATTCATACAGCACTCTACTATTTATTTACAAAGAATAATCAGAGCTTTATCACGTTCATACACTGATGGGACACACATCGGAGGCAATGGGGGTTCAGTGTCTTGCCCAGGGACACTTCGGCATGTGACTGCTGGTGGAATTGAACCCCCAACTCTTGCAGTGTGGGACGACTGCTCTAACCACTCAGCCACAGCCGCCCCATAAAATCTCAATAAACTAGAACAAAATAACTGTATTTGAACATTTGTGTAAATGCTGAGGGCTGAATGAATTAGCTGAAATGGTACAATTTGCAAAAGGTTAGCTAATAGTCAGCAATAGCTAAACTTTACCTAAAGGCAGCCAAAAGTCAGCGAAAACCTGAATGTAGCAAAAGGTTTGTTTAAAGCTGCATAAAGAAAAAGTCTATCCAAAAGCTTAAAGAAGCTGAAAAGTAACTAAAAGATCTAAGTAGCAAAAAAGCTAGCTAAAACCTAAAACTTGCAAAATGCTTGCTAGAATTTGTAGACTAGCTAAAAGCTAAGCTAGCAAAATGCTAGCTAAAAGCTAAAAGGAACAAAACACAAACAAAGCAAGGTGCTAGCTTAAAAAAGAAAAAGGCTAGGTAAAAGTTTAAAGCAGTTGAACAGTAGCTAAAAAAATAAAGTAGCAAAAAGCTAGCTACAAACTGAAACTTGCAAAATGCTTGCCAAAAGTAGTAAAAGACTAGCTAGATGCTAAGTTAGCTAAATGTCAGCTAAACGCTAAAATGAACAGACACAAAACAGCAAATCACTAGCTTAAAGAGGCAAAAGGCTAGCTAAATGTCATGAGCACCATTCTCTGCCAACTGCCACGCCCATTCCCCCACTGCTAATCAGCGCTCATGCCGTGCACCTGCTCCATGCTCTAGTTAAGAGCCCCATCCACAACAAACTTCTGCCAGATTATCACGTCCTTCATGGTATTAGATGTCCAGCCATTTGGTTCTTGTTCATGCCTGATGTTCTCGTCTCAACCCCACGCCTCCTTCTTTGGATTGTCTGGTTTTGTTCTGCCCTTCTGACCCTGGTATTCACCACCTTTTCGACTTACGGATATTGGATTACGGACTGCCCACTGGATTTATCCTTGGATCTCTGACTCCCCGTGCATGACCCCTGCTTCGTCTTTTGGACCACGACCCTGGATTGCCCCGCCGTCCACTGTATTAAAGCCTCCCTCTGCAGCGGCTCTCCCACCGGCTGCGATGACATCATCTCTTAAAAGACTAGCTAAAGTACATCTAGCTAATATTAATCTAAATGTTAAAGTAGCAAAATACTAGTTAAGAATACTAAAAGTAGAATAGGAATACAAAAACTAAAAGTATTACAAAACAGATTTTAAAGAAAACAATGTTTTTGATGGATTTAGAGATGTGAATAAATTATACAAATATTGGTAGATAAATCTAAATATTTTGAGGAGTACAAAAAGAACAAACATCGTGTGAATATGTTTGATGTACAAACAGCTAAAATGGTGCAGAGGATTCAGAAAATATAAAACAGCCACAGTCTGAATTCTCGTTCAGCGTTCACACGTTAATAAATCTGTTTCATTCATCACAGTGCTGTGTTGTTTTTGTGCTTTCGTTGTCTGCAGCACTTTTGTTCAGTCTGGTGGTTTTAAATGTGATTCATTAGTGAAGTTAATTTGATTTAACTTCAATAAGAAAGATTGATTGTCAGTTCGAAGCTCAATCTTTTGTTGGACAACGTGAGACAAGACTCAGAACCAATTCTCCTTTGATTTAACACAGATGAGCTTTTCTCGTAAACTTAGTTTGTCAGAAAGTGAAACATGATCATCACCACGTAATTCAGCTGAAACATCAGCACGCTCCGCAGCAGCAGCAGCTGGCTCATTTCTATCAGCTGATGATTTTACATCGTCGTTTCTCACATTTCCCATCTCCTGTGCCGTCAGCCTGACAGCCCGTCGGGATGGATGGAGCTACGAGCGCAGCGGCAAACGTGAGAATGGAAGTGATGGAGGTTAAATAACGCCACATTTAGACTGTGAAGAACTTATCAAGACAGATGAGGCATCAGGGTAGATGCAATCAGCAGCAGGGACCGATGTGTGCGAGTAAACAACTAAAGATAGAATGCGTGCAAATGAGCAGCAGCAGGATAAACAGAAGCAACGAGTTAATGTATGGACTTGAAACATTTATAGTGACACAAACTCCATGAGGACACACATCACTGCTCAGGAAATTAGAAAACTTCATATTCCTCTAACTAGTTTAATCTTAAAAAATATTTGTAATGATTAATTTTAGAATATTTAGAGGTTTGACAATAAGCTAAACTAAAAAAAAAGCAAAGATTAAAAAGCAACGCCACAAAAAGTCAAGCATTACAACAGTATCACATTGTCTATGGTTTTTATTTTGTCAAGTCAAGTTTATTTATAGAGCACGTTTAAAACAGAAGTGTTACCAAAGTGCATAACAATAAAAATCAATGGGAGTAAAATTAATGGAAAAAATAACACACATTAATGATAAAACTGGAAAATTAATTAAAAGCATTAAAAACATAGAAACGCAGAACAAAAAATACTAAATTATTTCACACTGTGAGAAATGCCAGAGAAAACATGTTTTTAGCAGAGATTTGAACAGGAAGGGAGGTGGCCAGCCTAATGTTGGGGGCAGGTTGTTCCAGAGTTTGAGGCCCACGACTGAAAACGCCCAATCACCTCTGAGCTTCAGTGTTGTTTTTGGAGTAGCCAAAAGCAGCTGATCGGATTATATCAGGGCCCGAGAGGGAACATATGGTTCCAGTAACTAAGAGAGATAAAGGGATGTGAGGACATTTAGGCACTTAGATCAACAGAAGAATTTTAAAGACTATTCTAGTACGCACAAGGAGCCAGTGAAGGGAGGACAGAACTGGGGTAATATGCTCAAACCTACACGTTCCAGTTAAGAGCCAAGCAGCAGCATTCTGGACAAGCTGGAAACATGAGATGGAGGCCTGACTGACCCCAGCAGAGCACATTACAGCAGTCCAATCGGGCCGTGATAAAGACGTGGACTAGTTTCTCGAGGTCGAGTCTGGACAACACTGGCTTGAGTTTAGCTACCTGTCTTAATGTGAGGAAGCTTTTCTGCAGAACAGAGTTGATTTGTTTGTCAAACTTGAAACCCGAGACTAAAACCATCCTGAGATTTTTAAGACTGCTTAAGATATGGCTGAAGGGAGTCCAGGTTGACAGGATCAGAGGTGGCAGTTGAGCAAGGGCTAAAGACAAAAACTTCAGTCTTCTGATCATTAAAACTTAAGAAATTTGAAGCCATCCATGCCTTAATGTCGTCCAGACATTTTAGGAGAGGGTGAATGGAGCGAGCACTAGCTGGTTTCAAAGACAGGTAAATCTGACGATCATCAGCATAACAATGGAATGAAAGACCATGTTTCCTCAGGATGGACCACAGTGGGAGCAAATAGAGTGAGAACAGAAGGGGCCCAATAATCGAGCCCTGTGGCACCCCGCAGGAAAGAGGCATTGAAGCAGATACACTATTACCATTATTACTTTTGTCATTTATTTTGTTACTTATTAGTCTTGTTCTGTAACTAGTTCATATTTAAAGGTTCATTTTATATACAGACATGAGCTGTTTCAATAAATTCTGGTCAAATCTATTTTTTTTAATTGTTAAGATTTTCAAAAGCCCTCAACTCACCACTCAGCACAAATGCTGTTCCCATTTTTTTTCTTCATAAAATTGTTAGATAGAAAATATTTTACATAAACTGTTCAGATGTAGTTTAATGGTTGTTTTGGCTGTTCGTGTTATCACTTTGTTTAGTTTGACTTTTACCCATATTTGTGTATTTTAACTGGTTATAGTTGAAAGCGTGCTGCTGTTGGTTTGTAGGTCAGAAGCTGACAAGTTTGAGACTTCTGCAAACGAGCGCACAGGAAAAATGTTGCTTAAGGCCAAAAAGTGGCCCTTGAATAAACCTGAACTACTGTACAGTACTTCAAATTAGTTCATATACATATATATATATATATATATATATATATATATATATATATA